CTTTCCCTAGTCTTTACCCACAATCGCAACAGAATTAGGTTTAAATAAGAAAATACATCAGTCCATTTACCAAGATGCATTGTCCCACTGCCTGTTCATGTTTTAGGTCAACTGGAAGCTTCTTTTTTGAGTTTTTCTAAAATCTCGTCTGGCGTCATCGATGCCAAAATCTTCACCAGTTTTTCACGTGATTTACCACCCTGGTTTAGACACATACACACAAAAATATCTTTCAGAGAATCACCACCAAACACATAATCAAAAAAAATCTCAATGTAATGTAAACATATCAGATACTTCAAAAAGAAGTCTTAAATTGTGGATATGCAGCATTAACAGCAGTAACAGAGAGTTTACCAATGTCCTTTCTAGTTATATGAAAGGCAAAAAAACCAATCTCTTATCTACTCCTCTTTTAAAACTGGATTCAGTACCCAGAGCATGCCCTGAATTGATGCTTTTTTATAGGTTAGATCAAAAAGTGAGAAGTGATGTTTCCATAATTCACTTGTATTGCCTAGAAGCAAGACTGAAACTGATTTGCATTTTTGTTTTTAAGAAGTGTGTAACTGCACTTTCAGATCTTTCTTCAGGGTTGTCTCCCAGAGTATTAGTTACTCTTAATCTGAGTTCTCAGGTTGATAACATCAACTAAATGAAACCACATCATACATAACCTAAAAGATACCCAGATTCATAGAGAAGTTATTTGAAATATGACTGACCTGTTTTTTTTATTACTGAAAAATAATAAATGGCCAGTGGCAAACCTGCAATGTCATTTCATATTGCCTGAAGACACAACTTTGCCAGTATTCAGTAAAACATGATAAACAAGTTGCTTGTTAATCTGCAAAAAGTTTGAAAAGCCTATGAGGGACATCTTGAAGGAAAAATAAAGCATGAAATTTAAAATGAAAAAATAGAGTTTTGAAGCAATCTAGCCAACTGATGATAAAAATCAAGGCCCTTGCACAGAAATCTGGTAACCTCTCTCTCATACTGGATAATTTCCCCCCAGTTTCCTGATTTTGATTGGTTTATCATAAAGCAAGTAGCACATAAGAGAACAATCAGTACCAAAAATCACTTGCTGTTTACACCTAGAAGATCAGGATGGGAAAAAAAAATTAAAAAATCAAAGCCACAGCTAAAATACAGACTTTACCACAATGAGAAAAAACAGCAGCTTGTGAAAAACAAACACTTGCATGGAATTATTTGGACACCATAGGTTAGAACAACTGGGTCAAGAAAGTCAGACAACACTGGCCCCTTTTATGTTCAACTCTTCTCAGCAGTAATGAGAATAATCTTGTTAAACCTGAACACACCTCTAAGGTAGGAAAACAGCATTACCTGTAACCTTTGATTAAAAAATGAAGCAGTTTGTCCCTGATTCAAGAAAAACAAAACTCAAATCTTCACACCTCTACCTTTTGGCAACACAGTTCATGCTCAGTTCAGTGATCACGTCACTTACAACTTTAATTTAACAAACTTCTACAACTACATTTACACCACTAGACAACAATAAAAAGCCCAATTTTCATTATGCTCTTATATTCATAAAATATAAATGAACATGGTTGGCAAGACTGACTTTAAGCACAATTAGTTAATAAACTAAATTATTTATTAAGTGCAGTGACCAAAACAGCTTCTGCTCACCGAAATCAAGGCATGTAAATTCTAACACAGGGAAACTCCTGAGGCCCAGCTGCACCCCTAGTACTTACACATGCTCTTGCTTAAATGTGACAGTTAGTTGTCAGAAAAAACTCATACAAATGCAAAAGTTACTTCAGAAAATGAAATGCACATTATCTGCAAAGCACAAATGTTGTGAACTACACTTGACACGAGAACAAGAAAAATCTCTGAAGAACACAGAGAACATGAACCACACAAATCTGAAAAATACATAATTATGAGAATTATTCTGATTAAAGATCAAGATCAGCTGTAGTTTCTCCTGCACTAATTTGTTCTCAATCATTCCATTAACTCCAGTAAAGAGCTTTCAAGTGTCTTTTGGATTGAACTGAGCAGCTCCCTGTACTCGGCATCTTGCACTCTTTTCTTGTAGTCTTTTGTTACACCATCTATCTTGCATTCTCATTTGAATATCTTGATCTGTTCCTGCCCAACAAATAACTTCTACCACATACTGCAAAAAATTGTTCCAGTTCTACAGTGCTGAAAATTGTTGCATACTACAAAATATGCAGATGTGTAACCTTGGCATAAATTGCACACTAAATTGTGGTGCAGGTATCAAAGTTTCTTTGATCTTTAATGTTTTTCATCATTAGGCAATATAGAAAATCCCTTTCATGACATTAAAAGGGTTCCAGAGAGCAGGAATTTTACCTTCTCTAAAACAACTTCACTCTTCTTCACATCCAGCACCTTCGAGAGGTAGCGACACAGCTCAGCGTTTGCCTCCCCCTCCGAGGGAGGTGCAGCAACAGCTACACCTACTGACTCGGCTGTCACGTCTAGAACAAACGTTTTAAGGATTTTATGCTCAAATATGTAAAACATCTCGTTATCGTCTCCTAAAAAATGACCGTTTATGCTTTCAAAAGCATTTTAATTTAAATCCACACACACTTATAGATTAGCAGCTCTGATTTGCACATAAGCAAGTCCAGGTTTGCAGGTCAAACTTTCACAGTTCCAGTGCAACAAACGATCCAGGAGGATTTGCCCCGTGCTCGCTGCACCCCCTGGCGCCACCGCTGCTCTGACAGCTCCGAGGACAGAGACAAACTGCAGGACTCTGGAAAAACCAGCCTTCCCGCTCCGTTCCCGTTACCGGCGGTCAGTTCTCGGGGCAGACGGGGCGCCCGGAGCCCCCGGCCCCGCGTTCAGCGCGGGCC